GGCTATAAATGGGTGTGGCAAGAGAGAACACGGCTATAATTGCTACTCTCACTCTTCACTAGTTATGTTTCGATATAAGACGTGGGTGGACGCACGTCATTCAGCATGTCGTCCGGTTTGTGACGAACGGGAGGACACTGCAGTAGGCAGTGACTTCCAGCAACCCAACGTAGGTAAGAATCTTTAATGGAAAAACCGGGCAGCCTCGAGCTCCCTCCAGCCTTGCATTTGCACTTGCACCTGCACTTGCATCCACACCTGCACCCACACGGAATGTTGGAATCGACCTCACCTGCCACTTGCTGGCACTCGTCCCTCCTTCCCCTCGCGCATCCATGTTCCCTTCCGAGAAGCGGGGAATCGTTGATGCCAGCGTCGCTTTGGTAAATTTCCTCCGACGCCCTTCCGGCGGGTGTTGTAAATTTTCAAGCTGTGTCTAGTTCACATCCGAAGAATGGATTCGTCTTATCGGCCAGCAACTGCCAGAGTGTCGTCGCCGCATCAACAACATCGAAGCTTTTGCAGCCAACTTTTGCCACACAGCCCTAGCCGAATGACCCAATGGAGCACCCACTTAGATGCAACGTAAGAGAGTGCCGGAGGGAGGTTGGGCAACAGGCGTTAGTCACTACATGCAGGTGAGCCAACCTAACCAAGCAAAAGTGGGAAAGGACGAGGGAGCTCATACTCTGATGATTTGAAAAGTCACATATTTTGCGTCGAGTGTGCCGCCAGACATGGTCTCTCAGGCCCAGTCTCCGATCGGCAGAGAAAATGCCCAGCCTGTCGGACTGGGCTCCAAGGACCTGATGACGCTGTCCTGGCCAATTTGAACCTGAACGAGGATTACAAAACTAGTGTTCTGAGTGGACTGAGTCCAACTGTAATCATGGAATGCACCGGGAGAGCGTTGAGCTTCTGGGCATACCAAACAAGCCAAGAGGAGTGCGTCGGTTGTCTCCCCAAAGGAAAACTTTGCTGACGTCGCGTAGCGTTTTCCAGCGCCAAACCGTCAAGAAAATGACTGCCCAGCTCAAGACAATGGAAAGAAGGCACCAAAGTACGATCAGCGAAGTAATCGAAGAAAAGGAAACTTTGCAGGAGAGGTTCCAAGGTACGCGATCTGGAGTATGATGCCCCGCCTCCTGATTGCACGAATCAATCTCAGAACAGCCCAGATTCTCGACTATAGTGACTTGCGCAGGAAGTATGAAGAGCTGGGGAAGCTTTACAAGGACAAGTGTCGCAGACTGAACCAAGTTCAGGACTTGTACGACAAGGTCAAGCAGAGAGTCGAAATGGGCCAAGTGGAGGCTGCCGCATCAGATGCAGTTGACTTCCAGCCTCTTGGTCCAGGTCCGAACACAACACAGGGTCTCTGCGAACATCAACAGGAGCCTACATACCTTGATCCCCAACGCCACGCGGGTCCGATCAGGGTCTACGGACAGTGTGGCTCCGTTGCGTCCCGGGAAGAGGAACCGTGGTCCAGGCCTGGCCCTACCCCCGGTTAGTCCGACTTCCGCCGGTATATTGGGAAATGCCTCTGACTTGAATAGTGGGCATACCGCAAACCCCACGCGGAGCATCCCAAGGACAAAGTTTCGATAGTGGCCGTGGTTACAGGCTGTCAACGGCATCCAGACTGCCTGCTGGAACGCCATTAACCCGTGGGTTTTCTAACCTCCACGCTGGTTATACAGCCCAACGAAATCCCTCCTCAGCACGGAGCCGCGGATTGGGGGTTGGCCTGTCTGCTGGGATTGGGGCCAGCCAGACTGGCAACGGGCCGGCGGAGCCTAGAGAAACCACACCACATCACAAAGGTATGCGAATAGCCTCAGCCGCCTCCCACACCCTGCTAATGGCTAGGCACAGTTGCCAGCCGTCCAGTTCTGGTACCTTCTGCTTTCGGACCCCTGACAAGCATGTGAATAATACGACCATAAGGCATGACGTGTGGTATTTAATAATGACGGAACAAACCAACTATGAGCGAGCAGGCGAGGGGAAGCGATGACCGGTTCATCCATCTCAACTTGCGCACTTTGCGCACTTTGGGAGATGACTCAGTTGCCCAGAGACATAGAGTAGCGGTTGTCGTGAGAAGGCTAGGAGTTTTGGAAGCTCTTTGCAGATGACATCACTTGAGTAGCAAGTATGGCGATGTATGCAAATCAGTCCGTAGTAAGTTTGTACACTCTTATGGTAATCAGCAAATGAGAGACCATAGGTGCTTGGTGCGGGTTGAGAACAACGCTTATTATCATGCCTGTCTAGGAGATCAATTCATCATCTCGGCAGGTGACGACAATGCAGACAAAGAGCCCTGATTGACATCCCAAGTACGTGATCAATCACAGCTGTGTTACGTCGCGGGACGAACACGACGGATGTGGGGCGTGCTAGATAGTTCGTTGGCGAGAGTCACAGCAAATGGCTCTGGCAACTGGGGCATTTATTCATGGCTGGCGTGGCGATCGCGAAGCCTGTTAGCCAAAGAAACGGTGACGCTCAAATATGATACTGCGAGAGAGACGAAACAAACGGAATGGACTGGAAGCTCTAAGCCTGCTAGCTTTGAACAGTGTACCAGGCGCTTGGGAATTGACAAGCTTGGACTGCGGTGGGCGGTTGCGGGCTCTCATCCCAGATGACATGAGACACGGACGGCGGGCAGCGCGGTTGTGGCGCGAATAGCTACGAGTGCCCAGGTCCTTGTCAACTTGTGTAAGGTAGGAGAAGGGCACAAGAGCGGATGAATGCTGGGATGAAATGAAGGCTATTTTTTTTTTTTTGCGGGGGGGGGGGGGGGGGGGGGGGGGAGGTAGACAGTCAGGGAGGAGAGAGAAGGGGAAGACAAGGAAAACGGGCTAGGATACGAGTTAGTCATATACTGCTATGAATCGCGATCGGGGACGGCAAATTCCAAGCAATTAACATCAAGAAGATACCAGCAGCGACCTGTTGGACGAGTTATCCCACCAACCTGACAAAACCATAAAGATCAGGCATGATGTAGAGCAATACAACACTGATTATCCTGTTTGCTACACGTATGGGGCCAACTCTAACCCGTACGTTTGTACATACGGCAGTCAAGTCCGTGACAAACAGACCAAGCCGAAGGCGGAGAGCAAATGGGCGGCGAAACTGGGTTCAATGGTGCCCTATCAATCGCGTACCTTCGGCGGCCGTAGGCTTGTCTCAACTTGATACAGCGACGTACGGATATATATGCAGTAAAGCGCGGAGATATGCGACACAGTGTGGCAGCCTCACATACTTTGAGGCGGATAGTACGTGACAAAAGCAATTTGGATAGATTATTGCGATTGAAAGCGGGCGACGTGGGAATCCCTCTAGCCAATCTGATACGCCAAGTCCGGGTTCCAATGATATACAATGATATACTGTGTTGCCGTGCACCATCGCTGTACGGACTATGTACTATTCGTATGTACCTAAGGTATCTGTGTACATCATGTACGACGCTGCGTCAGTGCGGATGTAGCGTCGACCCACACCTGTCCCCTACTCAGTGCCTCCTGAGGGAATTCTTACGGTGCACAGGCCAGACAGAGGCGATGGCGAGCGAGTAGCGGCAGTGAGACTGGAGAGGAGGGGGGAGGGACCCCTACTAATCATTGGTTAAACCTGACCTTCACTGTTATCACGCACGTACTGTACGGATAGGCTGCGAGTGCTGGTGCAAGGGCGCTGATCGCGATTGCGGTGTCTCTTTTCATCCTTGTCATGATTGCCAGGAGCAGATCCAGAGGGCAAGGGAGTGAGCAACCCGAGCATAACCACATGTGGTGCCGGAGACATTGCCAGCCCATCGTGCCTCATATGCAAGGAAGAGTAGGATGTGGAAAGCACGACAAAGGGTTCGCCGGTGAAGAAGAAAAAAAATAACTGCTCCAGTGGTACTGCCCAGCAAGCCAGCTTGAAGGTGAGAAAGCTAAACGCAGCCGGGACGTTCCCAAACGACGGCGAATGTTCGTACATAGGTACCTCGCGCGGATATGACCTCGACTGACCACGGCCAATCATAGCAGACATCAGATGGTTACGTATCCTTCCGTTTGAGGACCAGCCCAGTGCTGCAACCACCAGTCCACCACCGTCTTATCATTCCACGCTCTGGACCCGAGCCTGTGTCTGTACCTGTCCGAGATTTGGCCCGGCCTGCCACTGTCGCAGGAGTCGTCTCCTGTCCACGTTGCCTCAGTAATCCAACACGAGTACACCACAGTGACAGACAGTCTTGTGTTGCACTTTTCCACATCCTGTTCACTTCCTACCTAATAAGCAAGTTTATTCCTGTCTGCGTCGTCTCCATCAGCATCCCTCCCTCGCCAGACAACCCCACTTTAATCAAGCCTACAATTTTCCACGACTGTGTAAGTGCGAGCACCAATCCCTGGCATAACCAGCGTCCAGTCCGGTCCAAACTGAAGGTCGTTCCAGACTCCCCGTTCCCACGCATTTGCCTTGGCTCCGCCCCCTGGACAGCTGCACGACTACTCCGTACATCAATCGGGCAATCAGTTGCCAACCTCTTTCTCTCTTTACATCTCTCCTGACAACCTCCAGGATGACCGACGCTCGCTTCAACCCTACGCAAATCATCTGTTGACACAAATCATCTTCAACTTTAGCAGCCATTATTCGTCGTCGTTTATTTTAATCCCACCACTGGACTTATTCGCTTCTGACTGTACCGACACCTTTCGCATCTCGCCACGGCTGCATCGCTTTCGAAATTCGAATACGTTCCACCTGCGAAATCACCGGCTACACGCTACACTTCGTCGGCGAACTAGACGAACTGACAGAGCCACTCAATATCTCATCGGATCCCAGCGACATTTCAACTCCTATCTCCACGCGGAATCCTCATCCAGTTGCCATAGTGCTCTCCTCGAAGGCGCAAAACCCCTTGCGTCACCCACGGCCTTCTCAATCACGCAGCCTGACTGCGCCAGCTGCCACTAATGGGGAAGAAATGTAGGTTCTGCAGAGAAGACTTGGTTTAGTATAATCTATCTGTTTAAAGAAGCGGCATTCTGACTGTAACAATTCATTCGTACAGGGCGGTACGGTATCATCTTCGATGCGGGCTCTTCGGGGACGCGTCTGTATGTCTATAAATGGAAGGACCACGCCAAGGCCATCAAACATGCCTCCATTGACGCACTGCACAGTCTGCCCAAGATCAAGCTACAAACGAGTCAAAAGATCCGACCTGGCGTGTCATCCTTCGCAGAAAAGCCCGAAGAGATTGGTCGCGAACACCTCCAGTCTCTCATCGACATAGCCCTCAAGGAAGTGCCCGATAAGAAAGTTGCCGACACTCCTGTCTATCTCATGGCCACCGCCGGCATGCGTCTTCTTCCCGAGCATAAGCAGCGAGCCCTTCTTCGCAACATGTGTGCCTATTTGCAGGAAAACACGATGTTCTCACTACCTGACTGCAACACAAATATACAAGTCATATCGGGCGAGACCGAAGGTTTATACGGCTGGCTTGCCACGAATTACCTTCTCGGCGGCTTTGACCATCCCGATAAACACAAACACGGCAATGGCCATCACACGTATGGCTTTCTGGATATGGGAGGCGCATCGGCACAGATTGCTTTCGCTCCAAATAGTACCGAGGCAGAGAAGCATGCAAATGACTTGAAGCTTGTCCGCCTCCGCACCCTCGATGGGTCAACTATCGAACACCGCGTCTTCACTGCAACTTGGCTAGGATACGGCGCAAATCGAGCCCGTGAGCGATATGTCGAAAGCCTCAAGGAGCAGTACGGCAAACCGGATAGTCTTGAGATCCCCGATCCATGCCTCCCATCTGGCTTGCGGTCTTCTCTATCGGGCGATCCTATAAGCACCAAAACTGCCATTCATGAACTGTCCCTTATCGGTACTGGCCAATTCGACGAATGTCTCCGACAGACCGAGCCGCTGTTAGGAAAGGACACTCCCTGCGAAGACGAACCTTGTCTCCTGAATGGCCAGCATGTGCCAAGCATTGATTTCGATGTGAACCACTTCGTCGGGGTTTCCGAGTACTGGCACACGACTCACGGCGTTTTCAGCAAGAGCCACAAAACGGCATACGACCTGGCCACGTACCAGAAAAATGTGGTGGATTTCTGCACTCGCGACTGGGCAGATATCGAGGCTAGCATCGAGGCGCGGAAGAAGTCGGCCACACAAAAGGCCAAGAACGCGCAGGAAGCTTGCTTCAAAGCGTCGTGGTTGATCAACGTACTGTATGAAGGCATTGGAATCCCCCGACCCGGGCTGGAGCACACACCAAACCCTGGCTTGAACGTAACGAAAGGGACCATTGACGATGTGAAGGAAAAGGGATTCATGGACCCCTTTCAACCGGTCAATGAAATTGATGGGATTGAGGTCAGCTGGACCCTGGGGAAGATGGTACTCTACGCCGCTGGTCAGGTTCCCCCACAGGGAGCTGCACTACCGGTTGGGTTTGGCAGCAATGTTGCTGGCGCTACGGACTTTGAGCCAGCTGGATCCAAATTCTCCCCAATCGCTACAGGGGGAGACGATGATGATTGGGCCACTGCGGATGAGCTACTGGACAAGGCCAAGTCAAAGTCTGGCTCCGGTCTCTTACTCTTCATTGTGATTCTCTTTGTGGTAGGGTTTCTTCTCCGAAAGCGCGATCGACGCACACGATGGTTTGGCAGAATGACCTCTGCACTTCGAGGAAACAGGCGTCCCGGCAGCCCTCGGAAGTTTGGACGCGGGTTCTCAATCACCAGCAAGCTTTTCGGGCGCTCTTCGGCAACATACGAACGTGTATTGGAAGATGGCGATGCAGATCAGTTTGAGTTGGGCGACGTCGACTCCGATGAGAACGAACAGTCTGACAGCAGCGAAGGCTCAAGAGCCGGGCGTTCCTCTGGCTTGGCCACGCCAAAGCTCAACATTGAGAGATTCGATGACGGGCGACCGCCCTTCTCTCTAGACAGAGGTGGATTGGCGGTGAGGACGGAGAGCCGTGAAAGGCTCGTTCCAAGCCTGGTGAATGCTGGACGTCGAAGTCGCGCTGGAAGCCCAACGAGGATGAAGAGTCCACTCATGAAGCCTTTGGATGAGGATTAAGAGGCGCAGACTTCACTATCCAACGCAACGGACTGTGCAGTTGGTCCTGTCTACCTAGTAGATGGCGATGGCGCGAGGGTTATCTCTTCATTTCCAGTCCTCTATTTTTGTGCGTTGGACCCTTTCTATCATGAGACGGCGTTTTTGGGGTGGTGGTTTGCGGGTAACTCTGAGATAGGCGCAGCTCTTTGGCGTTGAAACTCACCAGGCATCTTGCAGGCCATGTACTAGACGGGACCGGTTTTCCTTTTTGAACTCGAGGTTTTCATGAAAGTGATTCATGCATCGCATACGCTGAACGCACTTCGTTCCCGGCGAGATGTAGTAACGAGATATTAGACGGGTTGTACCAATGAACCGATATACATGAGCAAAACAACTTGGTTTATGGGTATCTTTTAAAGCTACTACGGATGTGATAATGATTTGAACTACTGAGTGAGGGTTAATCATTCTGTGGTCCCTCAAGGAAACTTGGATCAGATCGCACGCGGCTCTCGAACTTCTTCCACCACTCCTCGAATGCCTTGAGTGGCACCATTTCGACGCCACCGGGCCCGGCACTTCCACTAAAGCTTGCTAGGAAATTGAACGCGTTTTTGATGATGTTCTGGGCCAGGATTTGGGTTGATGGCTGGGATGCCGATAAGGCACCCGAGCCCGTGTTGGATAATCGGTTCGCGGAAAGCTCTTCCATGCGTGCAGCTACTGAGTCAGCCGGCTCGACTGAAATACCGATGATAACACGGCCAGTATTCTGGGTGGCATCGGCGCTACTTGCGTTGATCTTGAAGATGGCGCTTTCCTTCCCGGTTCCGATGCCGCCCAGAAACTTGAAATTGGGCGTCTCGCTTGTTGCAGTGGCAGCAGCAACATCAGTTGCTGAAGCGAAGTAGATGGCAGCGGCGGTATTTGGTGGCAGAACGATCCCAGGTAAGAGCATGACAGTTATGTGGGAGAAAGGCCGAGCGGCGGATATTGAATAGAGAAAAGAGGTTTCAGACGGCGCCGAGGTTGGCTCTGTCAATAGTGGTTGACCGGCTGGGACGATGCCAAATAAAGGGCCGGACATTGCTTTGAGGCTGATCTGGCAATGGGCGTCGGGGCTGGAATAAGCTGTTTCAAGGGCCTACTTTGACAGCGATGTTCGGGGCTTGATTGACTGGGTTGCGCATTCGTTCAAAGCTTGTTGCCATGTATCGTCGCTGAAGACAAATACGGTGCCTGAAAGGGTGATGAAGAAAACTGGTTTGCAGATGAGAAATAACGTCCTCCTAGGGTGGGGTAAGGGACAGCAGGAAGCTCCGAGATGCTGGGAGAATCGTCCACGGGCATTAGCGCCATTTCGTGGACTGCCATTTTTCACACCGCAGGAACTCAATGCCCCGGTGGTGGCGAGCTCAAGGAACGACTTGCAGGGGTTAACCAGGTGGCTGGCCCTGCAACTGTTCAGAACGAAGGCTTGAATTCAGACGTCAACTTATGGCTGGACCTTGGGGGCCGCGTTAAACTGATTAGATGAGGACATAGTAGTTAGATCGGTGTGTGCGTCTGCCTAACCCCTCATACATGCATACGTACCCCGCAACTGGTCTCACCCAGCTGCAATGCGCCAGTGATTCCCTCTCTAACAGCTTCTAATTCTTGGTCGGTGGTTTATTGTGACGTCTCTTACTTCTCCGCGAAATGGTCTAACCAGACGGCCGAGTTCCAAGCAGAACAGGACTGGTTCACTATTACACACCACAATTCTGCCGTCAAGCCTCAGGTTTGCCTTCAGAAGTCGTTCTGCATCAACATTTATTTACCCGCACATGTTCAAGGCTTCCGTTTCTTGCCGCCGCATGATCCCCTGCGCCCGAATTGAGAGAGAAATGCTCAGGAGAGATATGGGAGCTTTCAGCAATCTCGACCTCATCGCTCAGGTAGACTCGTGAGAAATGTCTGCCCAAACGTCTGGGTCACCTGTGCTGAACACATGCAGGTATCCGTACGAGCACGACACGACTCGCTATGCAGAGATTGGTGGTTCCCTATACACCCTCATCTGTGGCGACGGTGAGGGCGACGTGTCTCTGGGCTATGTGTTGCCAGAAGTGGTAGAAAAGCTGGCAGAGGCGCCGGCCAGTGTGAGAGGAGAAATCAGCATTGACACTGCGAAGCGCACCATTTCTGCATTTCAAGCACCCACACTAGGTGCCCGCAGTAAGCTGGCAGCCGATCTTTTTGATTTCTGGAGGAAGCGCGATGCTTTTCCGATACTGCGCGGGTGGCGAGACGAGCTGTGGCCTGTCTACGGGCGTAAAGGCGAGCTACTCATCGACATGGAACGATCTGCATCCGGCCTGTTCGGAGTCATGAGGTACGGGGTGCATCTAACAGCATTCGTACGCTGCCCATCTGCAAGTCATGGCATCAAAATTTGGGTACCTCGCCGCTCTCCGACCAAGTCGACATTTCCGGGCATGTTGGACAACACAGTGGCAGGAGGACTGATGACGGGGGAAGACCCATTCGAATGTGTCATCCGCGAGGCGGATGAGGAGGCCAACCTTCCGGACCAGCTTGTTCGCAGCCGCACGAAGCACGTGGGCGGCGTCACCTACATCTATATCACCGAAGCAGAAGCAGGGCAGGTGGGTCTCATTTATCCCGAAGTTCAATGGTTATACGATCTCGAACTACCTGAGGATGTTGTGCCGCAGCCAAAGGATGGAGAGGTTGCCGAATTCCACCTGTGCACCGTTGAAGAAGTCCAGCATAGCCTGGCACGGGGAGAATGGAAGCCCAACTGCGCTCTCGTCATGCTCGAATTCTTCATCCGTCACGGCATCCTGACGAAACACAATGAGCCCGATTACGACCATATTCTGCGAAGAATCCACCGAAGACTGCCATTCCCAGGCCCGCACAACCAGGACCCATCCCTAGGGGCTATAGATGGCTGAGCCAGTGTCGGTTCCGAGAAGGTAGATTGTGATGACATCTCTCGCCAGGGCCAGGTGTCTTCCAAACGACCTCAGCTCACAAACGGTTCCAAAGGCACGTTTCTTGTGGCCTCGTCAAACCCCTCGTATTCGTTCGCGCTATGAGTCAATAGCCTGGTGGACAGCTCGTTGCGATGTAAATAGAATCGTTCATCATTTCTTGATTAACAAGTAGACATAATCGACTCTCAGAGGAGTGAGCTTCTTGTACGGGCCTTCCAGAGACATCAAGAGACCGCCGAACGAGACGTACGCCTTGCTATAAGACACTGTTAGCTTCTTCTGCTAGAGCTTCGCCGGCGTGGTTTAAGATGGCTGCTCACATGGTTTGCCCGTCATCAGCGTCCTCGAACTTGTAGATCTTGCCGTAGCACACATAATCAAACATGTCGGCCAGTGTGGGTTCTCGGTCGTGGTTGCCCTTGGTAACGTCCCTCCAGCCCTTCTCTTCGTCTTTACTACCGTCGTGAGCTAGGGAGGTAGCCAGGACGACATGAAGACTGTCGGAAGTGGAGGCGGGGAAGAGCTCAATATTGATGTCAAGTGTCATGAGAGTCTGATTGTCCGTGGAGGTGGCAGAGATGCGCGCCACTCGATCGTACTTGGACTGATCGTAGTTCGTAACTGTGAAGGACTCCTCAAAGAGGGTCACATCGCCTCCGCCTGACATGGTTGATGGCTGACTGTCTGCGAGAATGTAGAAGTGACTGTAGTTCAAATGAGGCCCAGAAGCTCTGTCAAGGCGGCCGACCTGGATTTGGAAGAGGTAGCACGCAAAAATCGTCGACAAGAACTGCGTCCCACGATAGCTTGGAGGCAGGCACGTTGGAGAAAAAATTACGGACCCCGAAATTCACTTACCCGTGTTAAGATAAGATATGTACCTAGGCACCATACGATTGAAAGGTGGGGGGCAGCAGCGCATTCCCTAGCTCGTGCGTCTGCGACCCGACTAAGACGGCGATTTCACATCATCTGCTTCTGCCCAACATCGGAACAAGTCATTATAGGGCCCCTAGTCGAATGCGTAAGTTCGCACTCCTCATTGATGTTGATCGCCCCGTCAAATTTGAAGACATTGGACCAGTCACTTACTCGTGGGAGCACGCTCCGCACAAGTCATGTCGTTCCGCAAGAAGAATGTCGTACTTGGCCAACAGGCCCGGGGCACAGTGAGAGAAGCCGGTGTCAAAAAGCAGGAAGTATCGCCTGCAGTGGGAGTTCGCCCATCACCCTTGGACGGGCGCTTCACAACCTCGACGGGCACCGGGTCACTAGATCAACTGCTGGCGGGACACGCCGGGCTGCCTCTTGGGAGCAGCATTTTAGTAGAGGAAGCTGGAACGACGGACTTTGCGGGTGTCCTTCTCAAGTACTATGGCGCAGAAGGCCTCGTACAGGGCCATGAGGTTCATGTGCTAGGTCTAACCGAAGCGTGGAAGGGTGAGCTTCCTGGGCTTGGCAAAACAAGCAGCTCGCTTCGCGGCCAGCCAGCTTCGGTTTCGAACGAGAAAATGAAAATCGCCTGGAGATATGAGACTCTTAACGGCAACAAGACAGGCACAGGTACGATGATCATCCGTCATTCGGGTTGTAATCCACTGAGTACGTCAATTGACTGTTAATGAAGATGCAACCCGAGGAAACGCCAACATGACAGACAGCTTTTGCCACCAATTCGACCTTTCGAAACGCTTACAACCCAGCGATATCAAAGGGAGGCTTGACACGACGCTTTGCTGTCCTGCCATGACCTGGTCCCAATCTCCAGGAGGCGCCGACGTTCCGTCGCCCTTGGATACATTCATTGCCAACCTCTCGGCGAAACTGAGGTCTTCAGCGCCGGACGCAATTCATCGAGTCCTAGTCCCAAGCCTATTGTCGCCTGCGATCTATGGCTCGTCTGTGTGCCGACCTCAGGATGCCTTGCAGTTCCTGCACGGGCTGAGAGCTTTACTGCGTCAATACAGTGGAAGCCTAACAGCCGTCATTTCCATATCAACATCACTGTATCCTCGCTCCAGCGGGCTCACTAGATGGATGGAGCTGCTTTGTGACAGCGTGTTAGAACTATTACCGCTGCAGCGCAAGGTGCATATACAGCCGAATATCAAATCGGAAGACGTGGTTCAAGGTATGCTCAAGGTCCACAGCCTTCCCGTTTATCATGAAAGAGGGGGGGGGTTGGAGGGCGGCTCATCACAGGAAAATCTCTCATTCCGGTTGAGTAGCGCGAGCGGCCTGATATTCAAGCCCTATAGCTTGCCACCGATGCTGGATGGAGATGAAGACACGGGATCAAACGAGGCGAGGAAGAAAGAGGAGAAGCTCGACTTCTAAAAGACCAATATGTGTATGGAAAATAGGAGCCTCACCGTAAGCAACAGAAATGAGAAACATGAACGAGATAGTGTGAGGCGTGAATGCGTGAAGAGTTACCTTCCATCCCAAAGATACGTACCGATAAGGCATCGAAGACCGTAAGGTACAAAGTGGTCCCTGGTGCCCCACCAAGCACAGCATTGAAATATTCTCTGTCGCTAAAATTTTCTCTCGTTGAGTTTCTTACACTCAACAATGTCCGCTCAGGTAAGATATTCTCTGCCCCTCTTGCAGATCTTCCCCCTCCAATGATTAAACCAAAAAAAACATCAATCTGTCAATCCACTGACACTCTGTGATGATAACTTTTTTTTTCAAAGAGAATATGATTTTGGGGACGTCAAATGCCGTTCGTGCAGCGTACAATCTAGGTTGAACCGTAGCTGACTCTCACAGGAATCACTCGAAGACGGCATGAATGTGTCGCTTGAACTAGGTCTGGCGCCAGTGCGCATCTCCAAGATTGCCGACCGCTATCTTGTCTTTGATGCAGAAGATGTAGCTTGGATTCGACGAAACCACAGCATTTGCTCAGTGCTGATTGGAACTACACCGCAAAATCCGACACAGAATGTGTTTCTTAGTTTGCCCCTGGAATTGCTGCCCGAGGAAGCCAGTATGCTCATCGAGAAGAAGGTAGGCCGCCTGGTCGACGAGACATCCCAACACCTTTCCTGCCTTGGTTCCCCAGACCAAAAGACTCGCCAAGCCTACATCACAATCTTGAAGGACCGCCGGGACCAGGCGCAAAGATTGATAGCCGAGGATCAAGCCAAGAAGTCATCCGTGCAGGCACGAAGGGCTGCAGGCGCTCAGGAGCAAAGTACCCTCACGGTGGGCGAGGCGTCTTCGGATAATATTCTGCCACAGGACAAGCTGCTGGCGGTCACACCCACAACGAGTGGCGGTCTTCAGAATGCCCAAGATAGGATTCTGACCGTCCCGTCTCCGCCACTCGGCCCTCTCCACCAGTACCTTTTATCAAGAGGCTACTTTATGACACCAGGTCTGCGTTTCGGTGCCGACTACAGCGTGTACCCTGGTGATCCGCTACGCTATCACGCTCACTTCCTAGCTACGAATTATGGATGCGACGAGAAAATCCCCATGCTCGACATAGTGGGGAGCGGACGTCTAGGCACCTCGGTCAAGAAAGGCTTCTTATTTGGAGGAGAAGCCGTCGTTCCTGGAGACGCGACTGCGAAGCATGTACGCACGTTCTGCGTCGAATGGGCTGGGATGTGAATTCGATGGATTTGGACGCTGAACCAAAGTGTGGAACGGCGCTGAAGTACGAAGGTAGCGTGTGTTTGTGTACAATACCAGCAAAAGATACCCCCTGATGTCTAATGAAACAACTGAACCCCACCAGCGGCGACGTTATCCTCGTGTCCACGCACTTCCATCATGTGGTCTTGAATCAGGCGCCGCCAAAAAGATCGTCGCACCAAATGCCTAGAGGGCTTCAGGGGACGAAAATCCTGCTGAAACTGATTACTTCCCTGCGACAACAGACGCATTTATCAAAGTTGTTCATGGCCAAGGACACCCGGCAGTCGTCGCAAAGGCTCAGGCAGCGACAAGGCCAGACAATAATTGTCCTTGGAGAGCTCTGGCATACGACGCATTGAGGGCCGTCGGGACCTAGGCCGGCGGCCCCTTCTGCCCAGGTCGACTCGCTGTGAAGAGCTCGGGGAGTGTCAGAACGGCGAGATAGCAGAAGTTGCTCCAGGCGCTGAGCCTCTTCGTCAGGGCTCATCTTGCACGACCTAGTTGATTCTTGGCCTGGTCTTCCGGCTGGTTGCAGTATCTTCATCCGTTGTAACTGCTGCGACCTTTTGAACTGTGCCCTTGTCATGATCCTATCACTAGCCAAGTGGGCGGCCAGTGTAAACGCCTCATCTCTCTCTTCAGGATTACTGGGATGCAGTAGACGGGCCAAATCCGATAACTGTAAAGCGTCGTCAGGCGTTGGTGTGGTATCTCTGGTTGTCCAGGATCTCGGTTGCGTCGGTGTTCTCTGCCCGTCATGCTCTGATTCCCAATCACTGTCGTCGTGGGCGCTGAACGAGACGACACTAGTGGCGTCATCATCGGCGGTCTCCTCAGGTTGGTATTCACCACTATTGTCCGTGGTGCCCCAATATCCGCCCTTCAACCACCAGCCATAGAGCCGCGTATCCAGATCTGTCTCGTCGATAAATGCTGAGCTACTGCTTCTCCTCCAGGCCTGCTGTCTGAATTCTGTTTCAACATCGACGGCCTCGTTTATCGGGATGTCCATGGTGGACTCAATAGATTCGATGGTGTGGTCGACACAGTGTTCACTGCCGTTTCGGTTGACGATGTTGGTGGCAGTTTTGGGCCGGCGTGCTATCCATAAGAGAAACTGTGGCGAACGGACGCCTATCTTGGAGAGAATTTTGATGGCGGCGGTGGCCCAGGTTCGGATTATCAACCTGTTGATATTCATGAGAAAATCCAGCGCCATGAGCCACCTTCCACTTTTTTCCGCAGCGCCAACTCCATCCCTGACCCTACGCTCGCCTGAACGAGCCTTCGGTACCTTCTGTGCGGCTCGCTCGCGAGCATAGCCATTTATGGGCAGCAGGTGGTCATCCTTCACGGGGACCAAGCCAATGGTGCCGATGGTGTCGTACTGCGAGTCAGACGAGCTGGCTCCTATCCACTGCGCTCGCAACTCCTCCAGCTCTCGAAACCTCTCCTCCTCGAGCCAAGTGCGGTGTCTGAGGTTGATGTCTCGGTCCTCATTTAAGTAAACCGCTTCACTGGCCATTGTGATAGCACCAAAGCCGGTTCTCAACAGGGCAGTATAGAAGTCCATATCCATGCCGATACGAATATCAGACAAAGACAAGTTGGCTTGCATGTTCTCATGGGCTTGAGCTAGCCGCTCGCGAAGTGTTAGACGCTGGCCCGTGGACCCCTCCACGGGGGTGAGGGCGGCTAAGCCTAGCGCAAGCAGATAGATGGAAAGGCAGATGAGTATGCCACCGAGGACAAGAACATGAGGGATGAAACCGATGATACAAACTGTGGGAAACCTGAGCAGTCCTTGTTTTGAAGGGTCATCCAAGGAAAATGTGAAAGCGCTATAGAGTATGCTCGCCATGAAACAGAGGCCCCAAAACCCTGTGTTGACAAGGCGAAATTTGGATTGCAGATTGAAGATGCCCAGAACGTGGCTAGTTATGTGGCTCATAGTTGAGAGGAAGGCCACGAGGAGAACTTCAGGCGGAGTGTTGACCCTTCGAAGAATCATGGACC